CAATGTATAGGATTCCGTTCCAATAATCAGAGCTCTACACATTGGCATCATCATCGAAAATCAAATCCATCAAATGGAGAAGGCAAGTTACCTGATTACCTGAGGTCCACCATCGGGTTGTGGAGCGTACTGTGTTAGGTGGGGTTGGACCTCTTGTCAAACACCTTGCAGGCAGCGCCCGGCTCCAGCCCCCTGGTACCTAGTAGACGCAGGCACGCAGCCGTCAGCGTGGTGGGCGAGACAGCCGGATGCAGACCTTGCATGGGGCGGTGTCCGGAAGCAGACCTGGACATTACGCATATTCACCTGCTCGGGGCTGGCCGCAGCCCGCAGGCGGTTGGCAGCGGCTCTGGAGGTTGAGGTGGAGCTGGAGGTGATGGCGAAGGCTTCGTTGCCCAGGCGGTGGAGCTCAAGTGCAGAGCGCTGCGATCCAGATAGGGGCAGCGTCGGCTCGAGAGCTGGACGGTGAGTGGCGCAACAGGTGGAGGGCGAACGCCGGTGGGCGTAGGCGACGCAGCGACGGAGGGCGGACGCCGGCACCTTCGCAGAGGGCGGAGGTCGCCCGCTCTTGTGGTGTGCGGTGGTGGCCGCGTCCGGCTGGCCTGCAGGGCTGCGCTCGGCTCGCCCGCGGCCGTGGGGTTGCGCTGCCTCGCTGGTGGCTGGCGCCCGTGCCGCCGCTCGCTCGACGGACAAGCCCGGGAAGGTTCTCGAGGTTTCGGGTTGACAAAGAAACGGGTAGAGACCAAACCGATCCGCAATCGAACGGCCGCCATCGCAAGTTCACCAGATCGAATGGCCAGCGGGCTCACGGGCGACACGGCCCTATGCGTTAGGGCGCTTTTGGTACAGCAATCGTATCTAGAGATTTGTTTCCGTCCTCCGGATTCTCTTTGCCTCCATTTTGTTTTAATTAAAAACAGTAAATTCAGTTCATAAAATTCAGCTTGGAATACTACTACACAGCGGAGACAAAAGAAGGGTGATGCTGATGCGTACGTGATATCCATGCCCGCGCGACCGCCGTGGGTGTCCCCTGCCATAGAGCGCTGTCAATGGTGGCTCCGGCGGCGGCGTCCACTACGCAGCCGTCATTGTGTTCCTCCTTGCCGACCTGTTCCACGGGGGACGGATGACCATCTCCTCGCACAAAACGGTTCGGGGTGGGGAGCTCTGCTCGGTCGAATATTTTTTAATTTTAACATTTTTTAGAAACTAATTTTAAATATAATATTGTCGGTTTTTTTTTAACTAACACTTTTAGCCGCGCCTATTGCCCTGACGCGGCCAAATGCCTGTGCCGCGTCATGCATGGTGGCGCGGCATCGGGCCGACGATGGCGGCGACCGAATAATCGCCCGACCGACGTGGGTAAGGTCTCGCTGCTGCGCCACCGATCTTGGGCGGCGATGACACACCACAGTTGATGGCGCGGCAAGGACGGAATTAATTCGGCCGGCCGACGCCATGTGCGGCCGCAGAGCACCGCTGCTCGCCAGCGTGTTGCGTGTGCCACCACGTGATCACGGGAACACGGGGCCCACGCCGTCCTCGGGGCTCATCCTCATCCTCTGCGGCTCGCCCTTCCTGTGGCTGTGGCCTGCCCTACCAAGGACTATGACTGCTTGGAGCTCAGAGAGCTAGAGCTGAGACCGAGAGATGCTTGAGTCTGGATACAGTATAGTTTTTTTTTCATTGTTTCGGTGACTTTATACACGACAGAAGGGAAAAAAAAGAATACTGGCCCCGTTCGCTGGTCTGAAACTTGGCTGAAATTGGCTGAAAAATACTGTTCCGGCTGAATTATTGTGAGAGAAAAACACAGTTCTGGCTGAAAAAAAGCGAACAGGGCCACTGTGTCCTAATATGTGACGTGACTCGTTCTTCATTTTCTTGTATACAGTATAATTTTTTTTTGTTTGAGAATCTTGTATCCAGACTCCAGCATCTGTCTGATCTCCACGTGACGTTGTTTACCGACCTGCAGGTAGCACAATAGAAATTTACCAGGAGTGTTCTGTCACGATCTGTATTAGTTACCTTGACGTTTGCTTGTTGTTTGTTTATACTGCCTGTATCTGTAATAAAAAACTACTTTTGGTTAGCCGGCAGGCAATGCGGGAGCACCGCCGTCGGCGTGCTCCAATTGGCATGGAGCCCCCACCCCGTATAACATCGCATAAAAAGTTTAGTGACCGCTCTTGCATTTTACAAAACCACACAATTGTTTCTCAAGAGGTAGCAAGAGGACATTGATTAATTCCAGATTACCTTTAGAATATCTAGCTCAAAAAATAATAGATCTAATATAGTTATTTGGTAGTTGGTATTATAAATCTTAATGAAAAATTAATTTATGCATTCTGTACAGCGCAAAACGTCAAGAGCAGGTGAGCAAGCTGTACAGTGTAAATTAATTTATGCATTCTCTTTGCAACAGTGCAGAGCGACCGTGCTAGGGACACTGCCCGACGCATTATGTCACTGCTCACACGTTGCATGCATGGCTGTTGAGTCAAAGGTAGCCGTTGCTGGTGTGCTGTGCGCCGACTATGCTCTCGTGAGCGGCTGTGCAAGTGGCAGGCTGCTGATGGTTGTAGCTCTCTATAGCTAGTACGGCCTGGACTGGACATGCACAGCCCAAGCAAGCAAAGCAAGCAAGCATACTCTACAGCTAAGATTATTACTGCTGGCTGGTTTGATGTGAGAGAAAAATATTGTTCTGACAAGCCGTTTACGACGAAGCGAACGGACTGCTAGTGGAGTAGCTCGTCTCTAGTAGCGAAGGGAAGCATAACTGAGCATGTAGGACGTGCCAACTGACAAGCCGGTGATGGCAGCAACAGTGGTCACAACGTGACGGAACCGAGAGAGCCCATAGCCCTGTCCCCTATAGCCAGTAGGGGTCTTCTCAGGAACAGCCCATTGCTATTGCTAGTGTAGAGCACCACCTATTTTCTTCGAGAGCCTCATTAGGATTAATATACCAGTACCAGATTGTGACCAAACAGAAAAGTACTACAATCACAGTTGTGCAGGGCATGAGCATGGGCACAGTGTTTCGCTGCTTTCCTGTTGCCCCCAGGAGATATGGCACCGATGCAAAACAGTGGGGATACGCACGGATACTGAGATAAAGTGACAGACAAAGCTTTTGAATTAAAGCAGCGGCCGCGGCGTTGGCAGGCAGCAGTGCTCTGCGGCCGCGGCGTCCGCCCGGCGAATTAATCCCGTCCTTGCCGCACCATCAGCTGTAGCGCGTGACTGCCACGCCAAGATCGGTGGCGCGACAGACCCTGCCACGTCAGCGGTCAGCGATTTCGGTCGCCGCCACGTCAGTCCGCTGCCGCGCCACCATGCATGGCGCGACACAGGCATTTGGCCACACCAGGGTAATAGACGCGGCAAAAAATGTTAGTTTAAAAAAAACCGTCGGTGTTAGATTTAAAATTAGTTTCAAAAGGTGTTAAAATTAAAAAAATATTCACTCGGTCCCACTCCGAGACCGACGCCAGTACTATGAACAAAAGGGGATCTGGAAGACGAAACCAAGTGGACAAGATCCAGGCCCATGCAGAATACAGACTGATGATTGATTTAGTCTACTACCTCTGTCCCCAAAAGACGTAATGCGTGTCAGTTAAAGTGATTCACGTTTGATCAAGTTTGTAGTAAACAATATTAACATTTATAGCTCTAAATCTATTTATTATAAAAAAATACATTTGGTAATTAGTCTAATTATATTTGTTTCATATTATAAATATTTATACATTTTTTTATTTATAATTGGTTAAACGTGAAACTGTTTCATTCTTGTGGGGATGAAGGGAGTACTTAATTAAAATGGGATGCATTGAGATACTTGGAATTTTTAGAGAGAAGTACATGATCAGTTTGAGGAGCAGCAATTGGCTTTTCAAGAAATCCCTTGATAAGAGGAAATATAGTATAGAAGAATGTATGTAGCTTAGGCCTAGCCAATGCTCGTGCTAAGTTTCAGAAAATCCCAGCACAAACAATTGGTTTTCTTGGTTTTTCTCTACTATCTTTGTGAAACAAAGAACATATATTTGACAGCTAGTCAACTACGTGGAAGCAACTGTGATGACTCGTTAGTCCTTTATTCAGGTTTGACAAATATCGGGAATCTGACACACATTTTCTATCTCTTATATAAAAATCGTTTCGAGGTTACAAACCATTGATTGGAAGAAAAGAAATAGACATGGAAGAAGTATCTATCATCTTAGGGGCGTTTGGTACCATTGTCAGCTTGCTTGCTTGCCTTACTTCACTAGGCCAGGCAAGCCTTGCCAGGCCAGACGAGCTAGATTCGCTAGCCCAGGCTAGCAAGGATTTTCTTACCAGCACAATCCCCGATACTACTGACTAAAATAATCAAACACACAGCACTACACCCACCCCGTCCCTTTTTAGCTATTGTTCTCACCTCTCGAGAAATAACTTTGACTAATTTTATATAAAAAATATTAATATTTATGATACATAATTAATATTATTTAACAGAGCCTTGAATATATTTTTATAATAAATTTATTTAGAGATACAAATGTTGCTAACATTTTATAAATCTAGTCAATTTTACGACACGGAAACCAAAAGCAACATATCTAGGGAGAGAGGGAGTGCCTCGCTGGGTAAGGCTGCATCGTACTCCGTCCATACCTAGAAAACAAGACGTCCTGGGCCTTGATTTAGTTTTCGCAAAGCACGTCGTTCTGGTCGTAAGGCTACGTACTCGGACGCGTTTGTCCCTGGTATTAATCGATTCGGCTGCCGGTCCAACCACCCACATTAATCGCGGGCGGCGCATGCGCATGCTCGCAGCTCGCCCGCTTCGTTTCACCCATCGCCTTCACTCGCCTTCCTTAATCGCGCACACGCTCGCCGCTCGCTTTGTCTCCACTTGCACGCTCGCACACGCGCGCCTCTCTTCCTCGCCGCCCGGCTGTAGTTAGGGTTCAGAGCTCGGTCGCGCCATGGAGTATGTCGAGTCGCTAGAGTCCGTCGAGGTGCGGGACTCCGTCGACGCGTTGGACACCATCGAGGGGCTAGAATCGAAGATGGCGCTGGACTCCGTCGAGGTGCCGGACTCCGTCGAGGTGGTGCCGGAGTCCGTCGAGGTGGTGCCGGACTCCATCGAGGTGGTGCAGTGTCCTCGCTGCGGCACGTTCCACGCTGGCGGCGTTTTTGGAGAAGCCTGCTTCCAAGCTCACCGCCATGCTCGCAGGTGTGCCCGTTGTGGCCTTTGACATGAAGACTATGACCTCCCAGCAAGGTTTTTGCATAACATGGAAAAGTTTGATTATGAGTTCTTCGTTCTTGATGTGGAGAAACTTCAAATGGATAGTGACACAATACTTCTTCCTGAACACGTTATCAAGAAGTTGGAAGATGCAAAGATGAAGCAAGATGCACAGAAAGAACAGTAAGGTACATGTCTCATTCAGTCTTTGCTTCGCCTAGCATGCTGCAAAGACTAACATGCTTGCATCTTCTAATATTCTACTTCTAATTTGCTGCAAGTAGACTAGCAATGTATTCAGCAAGCAAGGAAGCTTCACATGAGATTTGCAATGGCAGCCGATCTTCTCTCTCTAGTTTTTCTTTTTGCATGTGAGGAATCTTGAACTTGTTGCATCCTTTAACCTTCATGGCTTCCTTCAAAACACTTTGAAGTGTAACAAAAATCATGTTTGCTTTCCATGGAGAGTACTCTAAGAATGCCTACAAAACATTAGTTCAAGAAATAAATCAATAAATGGACAATATTGTATGAATGCCTTTAAAACATGTGTGAACAATTTACCTGTTGGACCTGGAACTAGATCTTTTATTGTTTTTGCATCCTTCTTGTATTGAATAGCTTGAATAGCTTGAAAAAAACCCAATTCTAAAATGTTGAAATTCGGAGAATTGAGTGGTTGACAAATGAGGCGAATGTCAAACCCTTCTCGCTTGGCGGCCTCACAAAATATAGGATCATCCACTTTTAAACGGGAAGGTGCATTATCTTGTTGTATGAAAATTGGCTTGTTCACATCTTCCCTTGGCCATTTGGCTCGAATAGCAGGCAGCACATTGTTTACCATGCAACCCCTAATCACATCTCTTGTAATTGAAGTTATTGGCTTGATTACTTGTTCTCCACGTAGACGATTATGACTTCTTCTAACAGCATGTTCATAAGTGACAAGTGGAAAACAACCAATTTTCCCATAAAAAACACACTCTCCATTCCTAAACCTTGGCCGAGCACAAACACACAAGAACATGAGCCTAGGGATGTAATTTTTATTCTTACAAGTACGATGTGGTTCATCTTCCTCGGGTAGCAAGTAATATTTTTCAGATTTTTGAGAGAGGTAGAACCATTTTTCATCAATGAACACAAAGTCAAAAAAATTCTTAAACCTTGGATCATCAACCAAACCCTGCTCAATCATATCAACACACCACTTCAACCTAGTCTTCTTGTTAGCATCTGTGAGATATGGTTTGATGCTACTAGAGTGGCGCCTAAGTAAACCTTTTTTCAAATACCTTTGTATCTTAGATTTGTTCATACCAAGTTTACTAGACACATCTTCTATGGTCATTCTATGTTTGAGAGGGATGTTGCACAATAGTTCCAAATCAGGAGGTACTGCCTTGCATCCACTCCTACCCTTCTTGGTACTAGCAACCACAACTGGAATGTTATGAGCAAGTTGGGTTTTACCTTGTTTCCATAAGCGCTGAACTGACCGGATGTGTATACCAAATTGAGCAGCAACGATTGTTGTATCCTTCTTGCCTAGTTTCCCATTCTTGCTTCTAGCCAACAATGCTTGGTACACTTGCCTTGTTTCTTCTTCTGTCATGTCCTTCCTTCTAGCCTGGACAGCATGTTCTATTAAAAGAAAAAAAACAAGCGCATTCAAAGGATCAGCCACGACATACAGATTTTGTACGGTAGATGTTGTATCAGAATAATAGGCACGACATGCAGGTTTACCAAGTAGGTTTTGTACGAAATTGAAATCAACCGCACCATATTCATCTAATGGCAAGTTCAAATCAAATCCTGTCCAAAAAGGAAACAAACCAAACTAAGGAAAGATGGAGCTTGAAGGAAACAAAAAACTCAAACAAGGAAACACATAACCATTGTCATTTTCTTCTAAGCCAACGTTGAGATCAAAGCTGTTGTCATCATCTTCTAAGTGAACGTTCAGATCAAATGTAGCAACTCTTGGATCAGCCGCCATTACATGCGGAACAAGCAAAGAGAAGAGAGGGAAGTGAGGAGATGAGGCACGGTAATGGAAAGAGAAGAGTCCAGGGGAAAGACTGCGTTTTAATAGGCACCATGGAACTCAAACGACGGAGCCGGCGAGCGCTAAAATTAAAATCACGTGGCGCCACCGCAAAAAATGTTTGCCTGTGGAAAAAACAACGAAAAATGGCGCCCAACACGCCACCAAAAGCGCCCAAACGCGTGCGCCACGCCCAGCCGAATCAAATTCGCTCGCCATGCAGCCACAGCGCTCACGCCACGAAGGGCCACAGTGCCATGCAAAATCAAGCCAGTAACAAAAAAAAACAATGGTGCCCGCCAGGTATCGAACCCAGGACCTCAAGACCAATGCCTCGATGCACTAGCCGTCTAAACCGGTAAACTTTGAAGTATAGAATGCACATGCAACTGTATTTAATAGGGACAGACAGAGAAAAACACCTCATAATTAATCACTCCTTGGTAAGCACAATCCTATCCTAAACGACATGTTTTCTGGGTATGGAGGGAATACATGGCAAACTTTCCAAACGTCCCCGTGTCCAAGCATTTCCTTATTATATGTTAGCATCAATTATAATCTGAATTTAAGCTCCAATCAGATTCATTGAAAATCTTTCAAAAAATATCATATTCGTTGAACTCCACTCTCAATCCACATAAACTCAACTTAGGCCTGGTTTAGATTGCAAATTTTTGCAATCTAGACACTGTAGCACGTTTCGTTTGTATTTGATAAACTTTGTCTGATCATGGACTAACTAGGCTCAAAAGATTCGTCTCGTGATTTACAATCAAACTATGTAATTAGTTTTTTTTTACCTACGTTTAATGCTCCATACATGCGTCCAAAAATTGATGTGATGAAGAGAGAGTGAAAAAACTTAGAATTTTGAGGCAATCTAAACATGGCCTTAATTCTTGCTGCCGATGCTGCTTTGCTACTCTGCTGTTTCTGCACAAACTGAAATTTAAACACAGCGACGCAGTCTGCACCAAAGGCCTCTTTACTGGGCCGCAGACTAATTTTATCGGACGAATTTCCTGTATGTCATTAAAAAAAGATTGTAATATTTTGTGCGTCTATGAAACAATTCAGCGTCACTACTTTAACTTTTTTGTGCCCTCCATACCACTGCTGTCAGTTTAGGCTCTAACGCCGTCAAACTGCAGGTGTGAAAAGTCAAAAAATACCCTTATGTCTAAATATGTCATTAATTTTTTTGAGCATCTTAACGACTTCAAATGAAAAAACTCAAAACTAGAAAGTTTTAGATCCCGTCGAGATCTATATTTTTCATATAAAAATTATTTTCATTTAATTTCGCAAAAAAAAAGATATAATTTTTCTAAGATATATTAATCATATCAAATTATTTTTTTTGCGGAATTAAATGAAGATAATTTTTATATGAAAATTATAGATCTTGACGGGATCTACAACTTTTTAGTTTTGAGTTTTTTCGTTGGAAGTCGTTAAGACGCTAAAAAAATTAATGACATATTTCAACATAAGGGTATTTTTGACTTTTCACACCTGCTGTTTGACGGTGTTAAAGTTCAAAGTAATGGCAGTGGCATGGAGAGAAAAAAAAATTAGAACAGTGACGCTGAAGATCGCTAAACTTTTTTAGGGGCACTGGGATTTTTTTTTATGACACACGAGGAATTCCCCAATTTTATTAGATGGGCCTTGTTGCCGATTAGGGTGCTAGTAGTCGTCGGATGGCCGAGGAACGGCGCTCGGTGGAGTCCTGGCGAGCAGAACAGTGGTCATCGAGAGGTAGAAGACGACGGGCTCGAGCAGCAGAGAGCAAGCAGGGGGGAAGGCCGAGAGGGCGAGATGACGATCAGGTTCGTGCTGTTCGTGAACAAGCAGGGCCAGACGCGGCTGGCGCAGTACTACGAGCACCTCTCCCTCGACGAGCGACGCGCCCTCGAGGGCGAGATCGTCCGCAAATGCCTCGCCCGCACCGACCAGCAGGTCCGTCCCTCCGTCCGCACCGCCGCCGCCTCCTCCTCCTCACCCCCGGCCGGCCTTCTTCCCCACGTCCCCTCCGCTCCTTCGCTCCCCCTGATCCGCTCGGATCAATCATCGCCCTCCTTTCCGGATCCACGAACCTGCTGGTTTTGTGTTGGACCGTCTTGGATCTGGATCGGGATAAGTTTTTTTTTCCTGCACTTCCGATTTTCTGAGACTTCCGCTGGTTTTTTGTGTTGATGCAGTGTTCGTTCGTGGAGCACCGGAACTACAAGGTCGTGTACAGGCGCTACGCCTCCCTTTTCTTCCTCGTCGGCGTCGACAACGATGAGGTGTGACTCCCCCCCTGCACCTTCTTCTCTCAATCTCTCCTCTCCTCTCCTCCCTTGGGAATGAATTCAGGTCTCTACCATGCCAATTTGTCTGTGATTGCAAACTGTGGATGAAGTCGATCCTCTGTGATACCATTGCTATAGCGTGGGTTTAGCTGCTGCCATCTATCTGTGCTCAGCCATAATTGTGACGAAAATGGTTTGGCAGGAAACAGTATTTTGCAGAACCTGTGAACCACAAAGGTTACATAGACCTCAAAGCAATGATCTATTTAATTTACACCCGTCTTCTATGGTACTGTTATGCTTGTGCAAGTCTGGATTGGTTCACTCTACTGTTACCATCCTCTATTAATGAAATCGAATTATTTGTCACAGATCAAACAATATTTAATATTGTAAACAGAACACAAAAAATGTTAGCTCCTGTTTGTATAATTTTTTCCATGTTTGTACAAAAAACTGTCTTGCTTGATGCTATGGATTTAGCTCCTGTTTGTATAATTTTTTCCATGTAAGAATTATTAGTTTACTACGCAATTGGATTTTAGTAGGGATGACAGTTGTTACAGAGATCTCAAGGGAATAATCTTTCATGGGATTTTCATAGCTTCACTGTTATGAATAATTTGCCCTTGATGTCACCATTTGTTAGGGCTACACTTTTACGTCACTGTACATAAGGTTAGTCAAGGGTGTTAGGAATATTCGCTCAAGGGTACTAGTCCTACCAAACTAATACCCATGAGTAGTTTTCACAAACTCACCATATTCTTTTCCTAATAGTCACCGGGAACCATCTATGGTACTTTTATAGTTATATGCAAGTCCTAATTTAGTGAATTTATATCATCCTTCCTTCACAATTTTTGAATTTTTTATTGCCAATCAACCAAAAAATTCTGCATCTGTCAATTGAGGCATATTCTGATTTGGAAAAAGTTACGCTTTGCAATTTTTGACCGACAGTTGTTTGAATTATTTAGCGTACAGTTGCATGTTGCATGAATGCTAGAATAGCTTTGTGTTAAAAGGATTGTTAAAATTATATTAATTTTGTAGCAATTAACACTCTATTGCAAATAAGTCAAAGGTCAAAATCTAGTTTTGAAAACTTCTTTAGGATGGAATGAGTATAATTTGTTCAATGAAAGTTAGCATGCGGTAGGATTTATTAGGAATTGATCTGCCAGTAGGTATGGAGATCTCAACCATATCATCAGATAAGGCTTCTACTGAATCATCCTTTGATGGCAGCATTTGCTAGGGATGTATATTTGTCAGTTCATTAATTCTGAAATATACACATATCTCACTGAATGAACTTATGTTTGATAAGATTTTGTGACATTTTGATTGGCCCTTCGGAAACTTATTACACTGTGAAATTACTGCACTCCATGTCTATCTATATACTATATCATGTTTCTTCTGCTTGTCTTGCTTTTACTTTTTAAGTGCCTTTCTTAGAGTGAATATAGTTGTAATTTCCAGAATCCCTTTTTGTGAATTAGGATTTTTTATTTGGGCTAGTAGTTTTTTTTTTGGGTGGAAAGTTTCATTGTTTACCTTACTGCAACTTCATGTATGCAAATCAGTGCTACAGGATTTTAATGTTTGTTGCAATTTGACTGCATTCCAGTGTTCTTTTCAAGTTGTCAAGCACTACTAGATGCACCTTCTCACAAATTTAAATGAGTGCCTCTGGATTTGTAACTTCTGTTGCAATTTAACTGCATTTCATTTTTGAAGTCACCAAGGATTACTGGATAGTAGATGCATCTTCCATTACTTCCTTTGCCTGCAAATCTTGTTTTAGGTATTTCCTCTCTGATACAAAAATTAACAATGAATCCATTCCATTCCATTTTGCAGAATGAGTTAGCTATCCTTGAATTCATACATCTTTTGGTGGAAACTATGGATCGCCACTTTGGCAATGTGGTATGCTTATGTAATCTCAAGCGTTTTTTTTTTCTCAGCTATTAGTATTGTAAAAAGATTCACGTAACAAGGGCTGATGCTGCTTTTCTTTTCTTTTCTTTTTTCTCCCGTTATGGCCAGTGCGAGCTTGATATCATGTTCCATCTGGAGAAAGTGCACTTCATGTTGGAAGAGATGGTGATGAATGGTTGCATTGTGGAGACAAGTAAACAGAACATCTTGGCACCAATACAACTTATGGAGAAAACTTCCTAAAATAGTGATATCCATTTGTCTAGTTTCCCATCCACTTCTTCTTAGCACATTTGTCTGTGTCCCCTTCCATAAATTTTCCATCTGTTTGTATGTTAAAGTGCAAACAATCTCTTTAAGCATGGAGTATTGAATTGACATGATTCTGTGCTTTCGGCTATTCCTGTGATCCTCTTTTCATGTATGCCTTCGCTTTGACCACATATGTATAAAAGGTATATTTATCTTGAGAAAAGCTGATTTATCATAAAAAACAGTAATTTATTGTTACATTTATATGTATTTGGTTGCAGATAATTTGAATAGTAATGATCAAAGGTGAGTATTTGGGGTTGGTGCTGAATGATGGATACAACTGACTGTACGGAGCATTTTGTTGTTATGATTATGTGATGGTCGTTAGTTTGCAAACCTGTAATAAGTACCACATTGTCACTTGTTCACAAGAATGGATGTCTGAAATGGTGCCCAATATTGTTCTGTTTACGTTTGTGGAAAATGTTTCTCGTCATGTGATAACTATAATAAATCATGATAATTCACAGAATCTCTTGTGCTATTTGTAATACTGTGAAGTAGCTACATTGTGCTTAGACAAGAAAAATATGATTTGGATTGCCATTGGCCATTGCTGGCTGGCACAAATAACTCTCTTTTATGGTTTTACCTATATCTTCATCATTTTTTTCATGGCCTTTTTGCCCTAGACTTGATAGTTCTTGTTGAACCAATTAGGTGATTAATTTGAATTATCGTTCTTTTTGGCTGTTAAGCATAAATACATCTCTCAGTTTGCTTCCACAACACATGAACGTTTTTGAACTCCATAAATAAAAGCATCATGAATATTACTTACAATTGCTCAAAATTCAATTTCCTTTTGCAGAGCAAAGAATGTGCAAGACCCTAGGAGAACAACTATGAGGGCTATATTGGATACATCCATTCCTTATTTTTCTTTTTCTTTTTGTGAACATTCCTTATTTTTCTTTGATAAATGAAGGATTTTATTAATTCACACTCATTATATCGAGTTGATACAATAACCATGAATTCACTTCTGGCCCAAAGCAAAGAGAAACTTGACACTCTAATGACTACCAATCCTAAGACTGATCACCACCCATGGGATTGGATTGAAGGAGAAATGAACTAATTTACCAATCCTGATACTGATCGCGACTGATCGCCACCCATGGGGATTGGTGAGGATTGAAGGAGAAATGAACTAATTTTTCACTCAATCCTCCAATCCACATGTTCTAGCTTTTTTTGAAGGTCCATGTTCTAGCTTTTGAATCCATTGATTTTCCGTTGATGCTCTGTGACTGTAGAATGAACACTTTGATTCAATGCCGGATGATGGGTGGAGAATTGGTGATGCTAGCAGTATATCTAGCTCTTAGCCTAAGGAAATAGTAATGAATATTTTCCCAATGTCATCCATCCTCAGGGATATAAATGTATGTGAACTATCATTCCTAACCTTTGTTACGGGCTTACAATACTGTATGAAATAAGCATTAAAAGCATCCCAATATGAGCTTCATGATGTAGTTTTAGACAAGAACTCTGACAGAAGCAAACAATCTGCAGCCTATTACACTATTGCAGTACAATATAGTGTGAGTTGGACCGTGAATTCCAGAGCTCTAGCACTTCATTTGTTCCTGTTGCTACCCATTCTCAAGCAATAGCTAGTTTCCCTTGCACACTAATTTTCACTAATAGCTTAGCTAATTTCTTCTCTGCCTTATTATTTGTTCGCATATTTGTTTGGGAAGAGGATAGGAGAGCAAGAGAACTCGCTGCTTCAAACGAAAGCAAGGATATAAATAGGATGGAAGAGAGGGATTGTATTTAGTGCAAGAATGCAAGGGTAGTCGATGATGGGATAAATTCTGTGTAGAAGTAGTAGTTGAGACTACGGAAGCTCAGTTTTTTTTTTTTGAGTTTTGGATGAATACCGTGGGTTTTTAAAATACCGAGGTATCTGAAAGAAAGGAGGTGTTTAGATGTAAATAATTTAGAGTTTTACAAACCACGGTATTAACAAAACCGTAGTTTTTTTTTGAGTCGAGAAAACTCCGTCCCAGACCTCTTTATTTTCGACAGAGGTCGGCGCACGCGACGCGCGTCCATTTCGTGCCCTTTTTCTTTCCATGCGCAGTGCTTCGCGCCCTTTTTCTTTCCATGCGCAGTCCTTTTGTTTCCATGTTTCCCTTTCTTCGAACCAGGAAACAAATCGCCCACCCTTGGCTTCCATGGCAGGTGGAGAGAAGGACGGGAGAAAAGGGCAAGGTAATAAGTTTTCCCCCGGTGATTCTTGACTCTGTGATTTGGATCCCCTTCTACGTAGTTGAGTCTGTAAACATGCGGACACCAGTCGCCGGCAGCCTGCCAGAGGACTCCGGCGGATTTTTGTTTTTGTTTTTGTTTTTTGTTTTGTTGCGAGCGGACTGCGGCGGAGGTTTCAATCCATGCAGATCTTGGCCCTCCAAGTATCTGTTTAGTTTTCAAAATTTTGCAAAAATTTTCAAGATTTCTCATCACATCGAATCATTGGACGCATGCATGAAGCATTAAATATAAATAAAAAATAAAACTAATTACACAGTTTAGACAAAATTCACGAGACGAATCTTTTAAGCCTAATTAGACTATGATTGGACACTAATTGTCAAATAACAACGAAAGTGCTACAGTACCATTTCCTAAAAAAATTCGCCAACTAAACAGGGCCTAAATATAGCCTCCTCGATCTGTACTCTTGCAGCATGTTAAGTTTAGATCAATCTGGTGTTTGGCAAACAAAATACAGATCGATGAGGTACATGCTTTGGTGATCTGTTTCCTCTTTGGATCAATAAATTTGTCCAACTTGGTTCCAATCAGTGTACCTGATCTACTTTTTTTTTGAATTAATTGTACCTGATCTACTTATAAACAGATGAGTCCAAGTGTTTTTATATGAAGTGTTCATTTATAATTTATAATTGAGATATATGTGTGTGCGTGTATTCCTTCGGGGAAGGAAAGCCAAGAGCACATTGGAGTGATGCGCAAACTAGATTCCATGACGAAGGAATATCATCTCTCAGCAAGATACCGTGGCCAAAATGGATGGACCAAAGAAGGATGGAGCTGTATGGCTGCTCAGTTGAACAAGTACCCTGTTTCCAATTTCACTGTGGCACAGCTCAAGGACAGGGAACAAAGACTCAAGAAAGATCACAATACTGTGAAATCAATTGTGAGCAAGAGCGGTTTTTGTTGGAACCCAGAAATAAAAGTGCCAACAGCCATTGATGAAAAGTGGAAATTATCTGAAGATCAACAGAAGTGGAGAAATAAACCATTCCCATATTATGATGATTTATATGACATTTATGATGGTATGTACACAATCTGGTTTGAGTTTTGGATGTGAGGATGGGATGAACAATAATGCTCTTGATTCACCATCTGGTGACCCTGGTGATGTTCCAGAAAATAGCCAAAATCCTAGTACAAATGCAGAGGAACAAATCCTTGAAAATTCTGCAGCAAGTTGTAGGACGCAGCGTGCTAGATCAATTGAGAAAGTTCCTGGAAAAACTAGACCAAAGAAGAACAACAAGGATAGTGTGCTTGAGAGTCTGGTTGCCTTGAGGAAAGAGGAGCTTGAGAGCTATAAGGATCTTAAGTCAAAGCAAATTGAGAGCTACAAGGAAGTTAAATTAGCCCAGATGGAAAGAAATGACCCCAATAATGATCCATACTCGATGGCCAAGTGTGTTGCAAAGTTACAGGAGTTGGACGTTCTGCAAACACCAGAATTGATGAAGACAATCAACTATCTCAAGAAGGACAAAATGAACCGGGAGATATTCATGACACTGAATGGCAATCATAATATTGTGGAGTTCCTTAAGGAAGCTATTTCCTATGTTGAATTTTAGGTGAGATTTGTTATTAAATAGTAGTCAGGTTTGTTATTAAAGACTGCTTAGCTCATATGCTTGAAGTTGCTTTATCTTTTCTAATTCGCTCGTGTTAGTAAGAACCATCGTATCAGGATTTATTTACAGTAGTTGTTAACTGGTTTTGGTAATATCGTTCCTGCCTTAAATAATCCATATCCATATTAAATAAACATCAAATACTGAAAACTATATTTATGTAGCTTTTATTGTACAGAAGTGAGTACAAAATCATGCATCATTTCTTCTGTTACGCTGCAGATAAACATTATAGTCTGCCCACATGTCACTAGCTATTTTATCCCTCTTTGCACTGCCCAAAGTTCTTCTTTGATTTAGAGACTGCACATCACTTATATAATGTGTATCTCCCCAGGAACATCAACTATTTCCGTCTCTCCAACACACAAACTAGATTGTTCAATCCATTGTTCGCTTCCTTGATGGCTGTTTATAAAATTATGAAGTGCACAACATGATAAAACAATATCTGCCTGTGAGTCAATAGGGTGTTGCGAAGCACACTTCAATATTTGAAAACACATCTTCACAACACCTATAATACGTTCAACATGATTACGGAGCTGTGCATGCCTCAGGTTGAATAATTCTTGAGGAGTTTGTGGCCTTTCGTTGCTTCAACCTTGCTCCTGTAGATGATATCTTACATTGCGATATGGTGCAATAAAATTTAGTGTATTGGCATATCCTGCATCGACTAAATAGAACTTTCCTTCAGGCACATAAAAATTATTCTGTAGTGCATCTTGCAACACTCTTGCATCTGAAGCACCCCGCACTAACATGTATAAACCGATTGTCAAAATTACATGCAACCATGACATTTTGAGACAATGTCCCCTTCCTATTTTGGTACGGATCTTGTAAACATGGAGCAATGGAAATCAAAACATGTGTTCCATCTATTGCTCCAATACAGTCCTACAGAACATAACTCTAGTTAAAAATTGAACATGAGAACATAAATAGATGTACGAAAAATGAGTGCCACTAGCAGTACCTTAAAGTATGGCATAAACT